GTAACTATGGGGAGGAAGTGGGAGGGGAGCTGTTGCATTGTAAATTTTGGTCAATGACATGAAACAAAGTATATTATGTGAACTGCTGTAAAAAGTGAATTTACTCTGTAAATCTTCACCCAAATCAAAATAAAATTAAAAAAAGAAAAAAAAAACATGCCTACAAATTCTTTCCCACTCTTTCCACTCAGAGGTTATAGTCTATAATCCCTCCCCTTCAATCTGTGCTGGCCTTAGTAACTTGTTTATAACTAATAGAGTGCCACAGAAACGATGTTATAATATTTCCAAGGCTAGATCAGAAACAGTGATGTAGCTTCCACTTTGCTTGCTGGGACACTCACTTTTGGGACTCTGAGCTATCAGGTACAAAGTCTGGCAACCCTGAGGCCACCATACTGTGAGGAAGCTCAGACCACGTGGAGAAGCCATATGAAGGCATTCCAACCAGCAATCTTAGTCTGAGTCCTCCCAGGCCAGGACTGGACATGAGTGAATAAGCCTTCAGATGATTCCGGCTCCCAGCCATAGAGTTACCCCTGGCCTTTGAGTTTTCCCAGCTGAGGCCCTGGACTTTGTGGAGGAAAAGCAAGCTGCTTCTACTATGTCATGGAACAGAGGAAAATTATCCCTACGTTAGCTCTGGTAGCATAGTGCCTAAGGCACGTGACTGCTAACCAGAAGGCTGGCGGTTCAAACCCACCAGCCACTCCTCGGAAGGACGGTTTGGCAGTCTACTTTCATAGTGATACTGCCTTGGAAACCCAAGGAAGGGTTGCTATGAGTCAGGTCCGACTTGACAGCACGTAACAATAACATATCCTTTGCAAATTCCTGACCCAGAGAATCCATGAGTATAATAAAATGTTATCTTGGGGCAGTTAGTAATAAAGCAATATTAAATAGAGCAGATGACCAAACCAAAGGCCAACACCACTGTTTTCTCCCCCACAATTCCTTCTGCAGCCTCAGGTGCCCTGCTCTGCTTTCACACTAGCAGAAGCCTTAGCAAGCCCCTCCCAAGATACTGCTACAAGGCTGTACCACTCACTGATTCTACAGCCAGCCTCCCCAGTACTCTGCCCCAGGCTATACTGCTGCCCCTTTAGCACCTAAGGGGGTGGTAGCTACTGTTCTGCCACTGCTGAGCTGAAGGGGAACTCAGAGATCTGTAGAGGACCCCAGGCCCTGCAACCATCCAGGTTCTCTCCTCCTTTCCTCAGAGTCCCTGATCTGGATAGTGAAATCATTACACTCTCCTTCCCCTGCTTGGGCGCCACTCATACAACCAGTAACAGTAAGCAAATCCCCAATATATTGATTCTGGGAATGTAGAGAGTTGGGGACTTTGTTTAAACATTCTTGTGCTCAGCCCATCCCCTTAGTATGTTACTTAAGAATATAGACACTGGGGTCAAATCCTGGCTCTATCATATTCTAATCTGACCTTAGATGACTAACTTAAACTCTCAAACTTCAACATCTAATCACCTGAAATAGGGATAACAAGTACCACCTTGTCCAGATCACAAAGAGGGACTCCTCATAAAGGTCCTGGCATGTAATCAGTGCTCAATGCATTTCAGCTACTTTTAATAATGTCTTCCCTGGAAAAAGTGTCTCTTATGACTTACCCCTTGTAAGACTTGAAAGCTGTCATTGTTGGGTGGTGGGTCTTGATCTGGGTCAACACCAACTCTGTAAATCACCAGGGAGAAACACAAGGAGAAAAACATAAAGTATTAGCTTGGACTAAGGAAGCCATTTTGCCTGAATGCAGCCAAAATGCTGACCATCTCCCCAAAGCAGAAGTAGTTAACTGAAAGGAGAGGAAGGCCATCATGCAAAAGTCATGAGAAAAAGGCACCATACAAAACCAGATCCCAGAGGGGAGGAAGGGCACAATCCTGGGTGCTTATACCCTAAGCAAGGCCTCTGGAACACGAAACACACCAACAATGGTCCGTTTGCCTGCCTGCACCAGATGGCACCAGTTATCACCATGAAGGTCTCACTGTACTGGGCCATTTCCTCTCTGCTGCATCTTTACTTCCTCCTTGACTTACTTTTATTTCCCTAACATTTGATTATAAAATTTTTCATATATGCAAGGAAAAACTGAAAGAAGTTATAGAGAACATTTGTATACCACCCCACTTAGATTCTACCATCAACAATTTACTGTGTTTCCTTTATTACATATCTACCCATTTCTCTATCAACCACATTATTTTTTGGATGCATTTCAAATAAAGTTCATTAACTAGAGTCCTGACCTGCTTTTAATCCTGGTGCTCCTATGTCCTCCTGCCACAAAGAGGACCTGAGAATTCACACACTTGAGATCAACTACTGAAGACCAAAAGGAAAAGGCAAAGTGGAAAAATCACTTACAACCAATTCCAGAAAAGCATCAGTTAGTTATCTTAGCCTAATAAGATGCCAGCTACTGCTCTATGCATCTGTTAACTTTTTATCCCTCTACTGTCCTCATTCCGAGGCAGAGAACTGTGACAAAGATGATGGGGATGATGGGAAAGAAAACAAAGATGGCAGGCAAGTTCTGTAACTTCCCTCACTCCCTCCAGTGTAGCAAAAAGATGGTATCACAAAAAGTAAACAGAGAATACAGCTTTGGGCAGGTTAGGTCTCATTTGAACCTGAAGGGAGGTGCTGAATGGGGATTTAACAGAGGTGTTATCTGCAGTCTGGTACCCAGCTGTTGACTCTTGTGAGCAGAGAGTAGATGCACAAAGCCTTTGTAGGTACACCTTACTTTTCCTCCTCTCCCTCCTTCTTTTCCACCTGTGATGTCCAGGATATTTCTTGAGAAAAGACACTAATGGAAAAGGGGAAAGAAGATATCCTCACCCTCTCAAAGCCAACTTTTACTCTCTCTTGTCTTCACAACTGGACATGATCCAGGGGCCCCTCAGCAACAAATCTCAGAGATTTGTTGACATGAAAACCATCCAATTCAGGGGCCAAGGGGCTGTCCACAAAAGTCATGCCAGAGTCTCAGTGCCCTCAACGTGTCAATGTATAAAAGTGGTAGAGGAGAGGTTGTGTATGGAATTCCTAGCTGTTGATTTTTAACTCTTGTTTTTAATCTCTTAATGGACAGTATGTGTAGGAAAATTCTCTCTGTGGTGGTTTTGTCAGTATCTGTGAGATCAACAACTAGGAATCCAGTATTAGGGCTTGTTCTGTGGATTCCATAGGAACACAGAGGCCCTCCATTCTAATTTACTCCCATTAGCTCCCAGTAACAAAGGGCAGGCTCAGAGGGACAGGGCGCTGGTTACTCCAGTGTCTTTCAGAAGACCTACCAGAACACTATGGACACAGCAGCCCTCAGCCTAGCCATATAGATGCTACTATGGGGAGCAGCGGAAGCTCTGCTAGCGTAGTACCTAAGGCACTTGACTGCTAACCAGAAGGCTGGCGGTTCAAACCCACCAACCACTCCTCGGAAGGAAGATGGGACAACCTTCTTCCGTAGTGATACTGCCTCGGAAACCCAAGGAGGGGTCGCTATGAGTCGGGTCCGACTTGACAGCACATAACAACAATAACACAGGGAGCAGCAACAAGATTATGTGGACAAAAGGGCATGTCATGAAGTGCTATATGGCCAAGAGTACAGCAGTTGTGATCTGCCACTAATAATGTCTCCTTTCTTTCTTTCGTGTATTTTGAAAATGATAAAACGAATTGTCTTGATCAGCCCAGAAGGAAAAGGAAGCCTGTGGGCAGAGGAAAAAGGAGTAAGTGTGCCCTGCACTATGATGAAAAAAATAAAGTCAAGTATAGTAAAAGCTGCCAGATAAAACTTAGCTCCTTCTATTCTGGTGGTGTAGTGCCTAAGGCACTTGACTGCTAACCAGAAGGCTGGCGGTTCAAACCCACCAGCCACTCCTCAGAAGGAAGGTTGGGCGATCTACTTCTGTAGTGATACTGCCTCAGAAACCCAAGGAGGGGCTGCTATGAGTGGGGTCCAACTCGACGGCACATAACAACAACAACAATTCTTTTAACTAAGAGCTTCTAGGAGAAAAAAAAATTGTTAACAAGAATTGCTTATAAAGACTAAGTTTTGACTCTTTTCATTCAACTCCTGCAAACATCAGTGGAACTCATGCATGTAAGAATGAAGTAAAGACCAGAGCTTTGACCTGACCCATGTGATCAGGCCAGAATGCAAAACAACAAAACACTGTGATAACTTGACAAACTCACTCAATTAGGGTTACTCTAACCCCATCCCAAACTTGTGATGTTTCCCATTTGTTCTGGGGGAACCTGAGAGTGATTCTGCATCAGTACTGTTAGAAAGTAGAACTTTCTGCACTGTTCAATACAGAAACCACTAGCCACATGTGATCACTGAGCACTTAGAATGGGGCTAGTACACTCAAGGAACTGAATTTTATATTTTATTTAGTTTTAATGGATAAAATTTAAATTTCAATAGCCACATATAGCTTCTTGTTGTTGTTATGTGCCGTAGAGTCAGACCCGACTCATAGACTCATAGTGACCCCTCCTTGGGTTTCCGAGGCAGTATCACTACGGAAGTAGATTGCCCCATCTTCCTTCCGAGGAGTGGCTGGTGGGTTTGAACCGC